GGGAGCGGGTGGGTGAAGCCGTGTTGGAATTTGGCCGTGGGATGCTGGAGCCACGACAGGACCGTGAGCCGGGAAGGGGTCGTGCCCACGCCGGACCTTGGAGCTCATGTTCACTGGCTGCACGTGACAAACCCGCTTGCCCGTTGGGAGTGCGGGAGACACTCTGGTTGTGATACTGGTCGAGCTGCCGGGGACCAGTTGAAAGCACCTGCTGCTTTATCACTTGAGGTCTGCCGGCAGGACTGGGGTCTGGGTACTCCCCCGGTTCTGAGTCCCTCGGTGGCCTGGGGCGAATCATTTCATCAGCTCATGCCTCAGTTTCCCCGCCTGTACATGGCGCCCGTTGGGAGTGCGGGAGACACTCTGGTTGTGATACTGGTCGAGCTGCCGGGGACCAGTTGAAAGCACCTGCTGCTTTATCACTTGAGGTCTGCCGGCAGGACTGGGGTCTGGGTACTCCCCCGGTTCTGAGTCCCTCGGTGGCCTGGGGCGAATCATTTCATCAGCTCATGCCTCAGTTTCCCCGCCTGTACATGGCGTTTGAGGCTTGCAGTGTGTAAAGAGCTCTGAACACTGACCTTGTGCAAAGGCTCGTCGTGGTGTAATGTAGCCCCACCCCCAGCTTCCAGCACAGGAATTGCCTCTTCTGGGCACCTGTCCTGCTCCCCAACTCCCAGGGGACAGCCCAGCCAAAAGCCGCTTGATTTTTGTGACCCTGCGGAGGCAAGAGAGCTCTTCCTCCTGTAATCTAGTTGGGCAGAGCCCATCCCTTGGTGGCATGCTGCGACGTGTGACTGGACGTAGCCAGCGCCCTTCCTCGACCAGGAACGCACAGGGTAGGAGTCCCTGGAGGAAACAGAAGCGAGTGTTAATGAAGCCAGGGTCCTTGAGGGCCGGGTTCCCTTGCCAAGACGCTGCCTCTGGCCCTCTAGCAGTGTGTGCGCTCAGGAGCGTGTATCCCCACAGGCTGCGGGCTGCTGTTTCTACTTGAGCAATGAAATCAATTCCCGCGTCCTCATTTCTCAGCTGGGCTGCTGATGGTTCCGCTGTGCCCGGCACGTGATGGCCTAGTTCCGATGTTTTCCGGGGCTGGATGCTGGGAGAGAACTCGCCCCTTATGGGGGGTGACTTCTGCACGGGGCAAGCCTGCTCTAGAAACTCCTCCCCCGGCATCTGCATCTTGTCTCTGCGGGAGGGTGTTGGTGATGCTCGTTTAACAGCAGAACGTTTGTTAAAACTGTCCGGAGGGGCCCAGTAGACTCTACAGTGTCCAGACTTGCTGCCGTCTGAATTCTGCAGCCCCGTGCAAGCCTTGCTTTGTCGGCTCCTGGGTGTCACGGGCCACGTTAACACCTTGGGCAGCGCTGCTGAGCTAAGGCGCTTGTTCTGCAATCCCAGGCCGCTTTCCCACCCCCCATCATCCCACAGTGGCCCTGTGCTCTTGAGAGCGGCTCTGGCGCAGTCCGGCAGCGGCCCGGTGCCTGCGGGGGGCAGGGCGGGATGCAGAAAGGGACGCCGCTGCCTGGGTTCGTATTGCTATTAAATCATTTCCATTTGCCAGGTGTTCCCGCAGGGAGATGTCACTGTCTCTGCACCGGCTCTGCCCGTCCCCGCCGAGTGCAGCCGCCGCGGTGCCTGTGTGCGAGTGAGTGTGGTCAATAAAGGGGGTGTTTTACCGCTCTGCGTTGTCTGGCCTGTGTGGTGGAGCAGCGGGAAAGCGAAGCCCTGACCCCTAACCTTGTGCAAAGGCTCGTCCTGGTGTCCTGCAGCCCCTGCTCCCAGCTTTCAGCGCAGGAGTTGCTGGGGTGGGCCAGCTGCCGGCCAAAGGCAACGGCATGGGCTTCTCGGTGGGTGCTGAGCTGGAAGCCATGTGTTTGGCCCGCGCCTTCGGCACCCTCTTCATCCTGCCAAACAAACAGCTGCAGCCCAGTGGCCCC